AGTGGGCAATAGGGTCTAAGTTATGAGAAAGCAAAAATATTAAATTAATTTGATCTAACTACTTAATCAACATAACCGTTAATTTTCTGTTTTGTTTTGTCTTGGAAGCATGGAAAATTACCATAAAAAATTACTGAGAGACTAAGGGAACTGTGAACCAAATTTGAAAAGTACGGATTAATTTGTGAGGGGAGAAAAGGGGAAGTGAGTTATTGGCATGCTAATAACCTTCTCTAAGCCTCAGTTTCCTTATCTGCAAAATGGTGATGCAGTATCTTCCTTATCAAGCTTTAGCATAGGCCTAATACTAAACTAGTTCTCAGGAAATACTTTCTTCTTCACCCCAGAGATGAAACTTATCTATAGACAATCATTAATAAAATATAATTTGTTAAATAAATCAATGATATTATCAAACCTGCAGGGATTAGAATCAGAGTTTCTGTCAATAGCTAGAAAATAAAGGATTGAAAAGACTTTAGAAGAAATATATGAGCCAAAACTGATTTACCTATTACAGCTTGCCATTATCTAGTTAAATAACTTGGCCCCCTAAGGTCCCTAGTTTTGTTTCCTTAACTCAATTAACTAGAAATAATTTAATGTTATTGAAAAGATGTTTTTGGTAATTCAATCTTTATCATTCATTCATCAAATATATGTTGAATATTTGTTAGAAGTTCCACACTGTGTGGGTGCCTGTATACAGAGGTGAACAAGGTAGACCAAAGTCCCCATCCTTATGGAATTTGTATCATCTTAGTGAGAGACAGAACAATTAAATATAATATACCAGATATTTATAAGGAGCTCTGGTAGCATAGTGGCTAAGGCACTTGACTGCTAACCAGAAAGCTGGCGGTTCAAACCCACCGCCAGCCTTCTGGTTAGCAGTCAAGTATCATCTTATTGAGAGACAGAACAATTAAATATAATATACCAGATATTTATAAATGCTATGGAGAAAGCAGGAGATGGAGAAAACACAAAGGGAGGCACTGTGAAGGGGATAGAACACAGCGATGAGCATGAATATTATGAAGGGTGTTCTTTTATTTTTTTTGAGTCATTGATTAAGTGGCATTTGAGAAGAAACTTGCGGAG